CACCCAGTATATCATTTAAACCACACTCTAGTCTGACTCCACCTGAGAAGGAGGAATTTGAAGCCCAGGGAAGTTAGGGGATTTGCCCAACATCACACAGCAATTTAGCAGCCTTGCTGGGACCATGACCCAAGCCTCGGGAGCCTGGCCAGTGCTTCTGAAACAGCTGAGGAAATCCTTCAAATGACTGCCAACCTTGAGCCCACCCAAACTCCAGCAGGGGCTAGAGAGGTCACAGCCTGCCCAGATTTGCAGCTGGGACAGCTGTGTCTAATTGGCACCTGACAAGGGGCACCTGGGGACCTAGTGGGGCCTGCTGCCTGTGACCACCCAGCCCCAGCCCCTCCTGCACTGGGGTGGGGAGGGCCGGGTTTAGCCCTCGCCCACCCCCAGTGTCCAGGGACTCCAAGCAGCAGGCTCAGGCAGCCTCTCACGCTCCCTCTCTCGCAGCTGCAGCTGAGCTGGGGTGGGAACTGGGACAAGGAAGGGACACCCGGGCTCCCCGGTGCCATGGCCCAGCCCTTTTCCTTCTTGAAGCAGCCCAGGTCCCCACATCACAGGAGGTGGTGGCATTTCACCTGAGCCCCGGCTGCTCAGAGATCAGAGGTGCCCACCACCCACCTCCAGAAGGGGCCTGCCCCTCCCCAGGGAAATCAGAGGTCAGGACCTTCGCACCCTCAGCTGGGGCCCAGCACCTCCCCTGCCTGCTGGGGAGCCAGGGGCCCCAGAGGGCTGCAGCGGGGCCAGAAATAGCCCCAACTTGCCAGGGAGGGAGGCTCTTTTTCGGTCCCCAGTGTGTTTCAGTCCCCTCGCAATCACAATGGTCCACAGAGCCTGCAGGCTCACAAAGAGCCAGGACCATCCCCAAAGGAGAGTAGGAAGCCAGAGGGTCAGCAGAAGGCAGAGGGGAGGCTGAGACAAGGAGGGGGGCAAGTCACTGAGGACCCGGAAGTGGGAAGGGCCAGGGGAGGGGAGAGAGAAAGGAAGGGGACTAGAACCCCAGGGTTAGAGAGTGGGTGTTAAGACGGGGCGCCTCTCCCTTTCAAATCACTGCTGTCAATAGATGGTCACAAGGCCAAGCCAAGGGTAGGAGCCTTTGGCCAAGGACCAGGCAAGGGTGTGAGAAGATCAGAGCCAGCAAGCCCTGGGGAAGGTGCAAGCTGACATCCAGGCTCCTTCCAGCCCTGGCCTTCTGACAACGGCTTTCCTTCCCCATGCCGCTGCAGGACAGACGGAAGAAAGGACGGATGTGGGGAACTCGAAGAATCCCAGAATCTAATTTTAGCTGAGTGCTCCTACCTCCCCTGCTAACAGCAAGCGGAGCCTGGAAGGGTGGGAGCTTCCCACCCGCTGCCCAGGCTCCTGCTCTAATGGAGGTGCCAGCAGGCGGGGAGCCTGCCCCCAAAGCCTGGGGCCTCTGTGGGTGAGACCCTCCAGCTCACACAGGGCCGGAGCTTGGCTGGGCTTCGGGTGGCTCCAGGGCCTGCTCCCCGATCTTAAGGGGACCCTAAACTGAGGCTGGTTAGTGCCATAGTTGAGGTTAGATCCGATGGGTTTGTGTCCTGGCTCTGGATGACGTCAAATAAGCCCCTCAACCCTCCCTGGGCCTCAGTTTCCTTGCCTGTCAAGTGGGGACAGCATCCATCCAATCTCATTGCTGCAAGCCAGGCACTGGCCCTCGTGACTCAGAGCCATCATTACTCCTCTCGCCACTGCCTGACTTTGACGGCCCTAAACTGATGGGTCACTCCAGACTTGGTCGGCCTCTGTGCTGAGGTACAAAGGTGAGGAAAACAGCCCTGATCCTGCCAAGAAGCCTGAATCTAAGAACAACTGATTAACTTCAGAAACCTCCATGCCTGGACCTTCTTAGAGGCTGGGGCGGGGGCGGGGCAGATATGGAACACGGGGGACCATTGGGGCAATCCCTCATGGGCAGACAGGGACACCGAGGCCCCCAGAGGGGCCCAGCCCTTCCCGGGTAGACAGATGATGGCAGAAGCAGCGTAGGACCTGGCCTCCCCATCACGCCCCGACTGTCGTTTTCACTGGCACAGAAGTTCTACCCTGGTCCTGCTGCCCACAGTGACCAGGCCCTCTGAGCAGGGTCTAAACTCTGTTTCAAGGGTATCCCTTGTGATCTAAGGACCCAGATGCCCACAGAGTGTGTGCAGTGAGGGGGGAGGGGCTCTTCCTAAGCCCTCCATCCCACAGCATCTCTGTCTTCTCAGTTGGTACCTCCCTTTGGCCAGGGATAGCTTAAGAAAGGGGCCTCCAAAAGGTAGGAGTACCTGACCAAGACAGCTCACCTGCTTGCCTCCTGTCCCCCGCCCTCACCTCCAGGGTGTTTGCCAGGATTACTCCTGGGAGGAGGAGGGCCGATATCACTCCATATCTGCTGCTCGGAGCCCATCTCATTGACTCACTAACTCTCAGACTGGCTCAGGGTGAAACCAAATGTAAGTGCTACTCACACAGAGCAGCAGGAATAGGGTGTGAGAGGAGGAGGCCAGGGTGGGAGCCAGGGGTCCTGGGGCCCAGCTCAGCTGCACCACCTGTTTCCCTGGACAAGTCCCCAAGACTCTGTACCTCAGTTTCTTCATCTGAGAACTGAATAAGGTAGCAAAATGGGGACGAGCCTAGCACAAGACCTGGCACACAAGACCAGACGGTCAGCAGGAGTTTCCTGAATGTGGGCCCCTTATTCCTTGAGTCTGAATGCAGTCCCTTCAGTAAGAAGCTGTGTTATGGTGGGCACAGAGACAGGCACCCTGGGTTCTAGACCCGGCTCTCCCACCATGTGGCTACGGGGGATGTGGGGGGCCAAGGCAAGTCATCTGTCTCTGGGCCTCAGTCTCTTCTTTAATAAAATTCAGTGTTCAGACTGAGCTGTCAGGAATGGAAAACCTGTGACACGCACACCATCACTTATTCATTCCATAGCAGTGACATACATGAGCAGTCGATCACAGCACTGTCACCTACTGAATCTAGCCTGATGCAGTTTCAGAATCCCCAAATGCCCAGCACCAGCTAGGTGAACTTGCACCTCAGTTTCCCCTTTTGTAAAATGGCCACAGCTAGCAAAGTTATGAGGATTAAACAAGAAAATGTATTCAGAATGGACAGCCAGGAGCCTCGTTCTAGCAGGGGTAATTTTCTGGCACTGTCTCTAGAGACTGGGCAGGGAGGGCTTCTCCCAGGCCAACAGGGGAGAGTGTGGTCTAGTGGAAATAGCTTGGGCCTGGATGATGTCAGGCAAGCCGTGGCACCTTTCTAAGCCTCAGTTTTCCCTGGAATAAAATGGGCTGATACTTACCTTGTAGGATGTTCAAAAGGATTAATTGAGGTAATCAGACAAAGAGCCAGAAGAGTGACTGGTGCAGTAAATGGGAAAAGGCGAGCTACTCTGACCCACCCTCAGGCCCTCAGGCCCTCAGCGGTGGGTACACAGGAGCTCCTCAAGGCAGGATGTGGGTTCCTCCTTATGTGCTCAGTGAAGCCCCGCATCCAAGTCCATCAATGGTGGTGGATACACTGGAGTCTCTGGTCGTTGTCCCTGGCAGAAGCCGTGGCCCCACGAAAGTGTGAATGCTCAGTCGAGGTACAGTGGCTTCCCCCCACTAGATCTGGGCCCCCGCCCCAGGCCTCATCCCGCCCTGGGGCCTGCCACTGGCATCAGCCCTACCCCCGCCCTGCCGTCTGCCCTCGCCAGCAGCCTGCTGACTGTCCTCCACAGAACCAGGCCAACCTGGTTTGGGCCCCAAAAACTACCTTCTCTGAGGTGACAGGAAGCTGGTGGACTCAACTCCCAACGCGACTCACAGGGTGTTTGGGGGGGCCTCTGGGAAATGAGACTGACAGGAACCTCTGCAGGCCTTCCATCTCTAACGTCGGTGACTGACTCCTAGTTTGGAAGAGCCTGATGCAGAGCAGCTCTGTTCTGCTCTCCTGTCTCTCACTGACGGTAGCAGCTTAAAACAGTCCTCGGAGTGACCATCGCTCCTTCCCTCCCTCCCTCTCCACCTGACCATGTCTGCTGGCCCTCAGCTGCTGCACCTGACCGCCCAGCAAAGCTAGCTCAGGCTGACTCTCAAACTGTCACAAATACACCAAACACCCCTTGCACGTGCTGTCCCCCTGCCCAAAACACCTTCCTATCTTCCTTGTTGGTGTATTCCTGCTCTTTCCCCAAGACCTTGCCCAAAGGCCATCTCCTCTGGAAAGCCCTCCCTTCCTTCCCTTCACAGGCAGCCAGTCTCAGCGCCCCCTGATAACTCTCGCCCTCCCCCCACACACACAGACTTGTAATGACGAATAAAGGATGCTGAGTGGACAGAGCAGGCAGGCAGGCGGGTGGGTACCAGCCAGTCACACCCAGAGGACAGGGCAGCTGGCCCTGGGAGGGAGCCATGCCCCGTCTGCTCTGCACATAGCTGAGGAATAAATCCCACTGACAGCCCTTGGCCATCTAGGACGCAGCTTGCTTATTACAAAATATCCTTTATTGATAAAATAGCTCAGACTTTAAAAAAAAAACCCTGCATATCACAAGGGAACCACAGGCAACAATAGCAGAGGTGACATGGGGCACACACAAGACCAGGCGGCAGTTTAACGAGTCAGCCCCTCCCCTGAGCCCAGCCTCCCCAGCCCTGCCTCAAGGCAATACCCTGGCCACACATTGAGACCAAGAAAAGAGCCCAACAGCCCCCCTCCCCAGGGGGGACTCTCTTTGGTCCCCTCCATTCTCTCCAAGCCCAGAAAACTCCCTCAACACCCCTCCAAATAGAGCCAGGCCCATCAGAGTGTCACCAGTGCCTGGGCCGCTCAGCCCCACCCCCAAGATAAGATGCCTGCTGGCTGCAAGCTGAAGCCAGACACTCCCACCAGGAAGACGGGGGAACATCCTTCATGTACTCCTGACTATCCTGGATGCCAGTTCCCGGGTGAGGGAGAGGACCAGGAGGGAGAGGCCCAAAGGAGCCCCGTCAGTGAGGTGGAGCATCGCTACTGGGTCTGCGATGGTCAGACGGCACCCAGGGTGGGATCAGTTATGCATCACAGGGACCTATTGGGTGCGTGGAGCCCTGCCAGGGCACGCCTATGGGTGGCTCCGCAAGAACGCACGGGGCCCCTGCTCACCTTCTCCAGCCCCAGCACCTGCCACAGGCTCTCATCTCAGACTGTTCCCATTGGCTGTGTATTTTTAGCTATCTTGGGGAAATAATTTGCCTGCTTGATGACAAAAGACTTCGCCACTTTGAGGGGCCCAAGCCAGTGAAAACCCTCTTAGTGTTGCAGATGAAATGTCAAAAAGTTGTCATGCAGCATAATAATTGAACCTTTTGCAGGTGTAAGAATACATTCTCAAAGAAATCCTTTAACTGAAATTGTGGTCCTGTCTGCCACTCCCCACTTCCAGTTTGGGGTAGGAATTCACACACCCCGGGCACAGAACAAAAGTCTACAGGAAGACAGGTGGTGACAAACACAGAAAAGGGGGATTTTTATATCACGAAATAATCACATTTTCTGGTTCTCTGGTGCGTTCCCCCATGGAGCTCAAAGCTTTCTGCCAAGCCTCTCATCTCCCTGTGGCAAGTAGGCGGTAAGATATTGTCGCCCCGGTTTTTGCAGGGGTGAATGCTAGTGATCAGGGCTCTCCCGTAGAGGCAGAGGCCAGGCCTCCAGACCGCCCCGCTGAGGCATCCACACGCCCACCCGCCTCCCAGAGGGGCGCCGGGTGAGGAAAATGATCCATGATTCTGGCCTTTAAAGGAGTTACAAATCCAAAAGCAGAGGGAAGGGAAGACAGGCCAGAGACAGTGCCAGCCCATGAACCCCCACCGAGGGCCTGATGGAGACCTCGGGCACCCAATGTGGAGGCATATCATCATTTCTGTCCCTTCGGCAGCGGCAGACCCTCCTTGGGAAAGTGGAGGGCTGGCTTCCTGCTCTTTTCCAGGGGAAGACAAGGAAAGCAAAACACCACAAGCAAGTGATCGACCAGAAACACAGGGTCCTCCAGGAAGGGAGGCCCACCTTCGGCTTGCAGGGCTCTGGGGTTCTGGGAGGGAGCCTGGCTTCGGCTACGCTCAGGAAGGTCCAAGCCTCACCCTGTGCTTAGGCAGGGGGTGGAGAAGATGGCACCCCACAGCCAAGCCAGCAAGGGGAGGCTTCAAACAGACCCCTGTGAACAGCACCCCTGCCCTCCCATCCCAAGATGGGGCCTGCAGGACCTGGGTAGGGACCAGAAAGCCCCAGGGAGGTGGCCACATAAAACAGGGCGAGAAGCAGGGTGGCCCGGGCCCCACCTGGCACCAACCCCACACGGGCAGTGGGCAGGCGGGCTCACCAGGCCGTCTGGGTCCACTGGCGGCAAAGGATTCTTCGGAAGGCACGGCGGAAGTCCTGGTTGAAGATGGTGTAGATGACAGGGTTCAGCGAGCTGTTGCAGTAGCCGATCCAGAAGAAGAACTGGAAGAGGCCGCGGGGCACCTTGCAGTGCTCGGGGCAGATGGCCCCCAGGCTGTAGCTGAAGAAGAAGGGGAACCAGCAGAGCACGAAGACGCCGATGACCACGGCCAGCACAAACGTGAACCGCTTCTCCCGGGTCAGCTGCGCCCGTCGCCGCCACCACTGCCCCCGCGAGGTGCCCACGCCCCTGCCCAGGAGTACCTGGCCACGCAGGGTCGCCAGCACCCGGGAAACCTGTGGCTGCTGCAAGGGTGGGCTGCAAGCTGAGGCAGGAGATGCTGGCAAGGCCTGAGGCTCACACTCTTCCTCCTCCTCCTCCTCCTCTGCAGCCTCCTCCTCTGGAGACGTCCCACAAACACCTTCCTTCTGACCCTGGCCTGAATTGGGAAGGGCAGGCCAGTTGGGTGGCAAGGCGGGGGTTCCAGGGACTTCAGGGGTCTCCCCCTCATCCTTCTCCCCAGTGGGATGAGGGCGTCCGTTTGCCTCTCCAGCAGTAGCCAGTTGAGAGACCAGGGTGGGCAGTTTGCCTGAGGCTGAAACTTCCCCAGGGATGCGGCAGGGCTGCTTAGAGTCACCCTTCCCAGGGCCCCCCTTGGCCCTGGGACCTCTGCGGTGGCTGCGCTTGGCGATCAGGTAAATGCGCAGGTAGACAAGGATCATGATAAGACAGGGTGCAAAGAAAGAGCCAATACTGGAGGCCAGGATGTACCAGGCCTCCTGGTTGAGCTTGCATTGAGGGCGCCCGCGGGGCTGGGGACTCTGGTCGCCCTTGTAGATGAGGGGCGGCAGCGAGATGACAGCCGCGATGAGCCACACGGTGAGGATGATGCACTTGATGCGGCGCGGGGTGCGCTTGGAATTGTACTCCAGCGCACGGCTCACGGCCCAGTAGCGGTCCAGGCTGATGGCACACAGGTGCACGATGGAGGAGGTGCAGAAGAGCACATCAAGCGCCAGGTACACCTCGCACCAGGTGCGCCGGAAGTACCAGTAGCCCAGCAGCTCGTTGGCCAGCGAGAAAGGGATGATGAGCGTGGCCACCAGGATGTCGGCGGCGGCCAGCGACACTAGGAACAGGTTCTGCGGGGCGCGCAGCGAGCGACTTGTCAGCACAGCCAAGATAACCAGCGCGTTGCCGAAGATGGTGAAGAGGATGAGGAAGGTGATGACCGCCGCGATTGCCGCAGTGGCCTGCACGGAGTAGGGCTCCTGGTGGTCCATGGCGGGGCCGGACTCGGCCAGAGGGGGCGCTGCTCTCCCTGCGCGTGCACAGCCGGTGACAGCGCTGTCCCACCCAAGTCGGCTAGACGAGGGGATCGCCTCCCTGGCTGCGCTGAAGGTGCTGGAGCCCCATGGCCAGGCCGAAAGGGGCCAGGAGGTCGAGGGACGCCCGAGGCTGGCCACTGCCCTTCTACATCCTCTTGCACCGGCGCCCAGCGTCACTGCCGTCTGTCCCGGAGAAGTTTTCCAAGTTGCCCGCTGCCGTCCCCACCCCGCCGGGACCGGGGAAGTGCGCCCTGCCGCCGCGAGGCTGCTGACGCAGGCCCTGGCCAGGCCGGGCAGGGGGCCGG